AGGCAGGGCAGGATGCTCTCTCCCATCAGCAGAGCTGGGGCGACCGTTTTGCTCCGTGTAATCAAACGTGTCGACCACGGCCAATGCGTGCACCTACGTGCAGTTACCACGTACCCAACAGCCGACGCTTTCCCGGCGGGCTCAGACGCGCTGGAGGGGGTGTGTCATGCCCCCTTTTCCTGTGCCCCCTTTTCCTGCCTCAGTTTCCTTGAAGACGTTTAGGGAAGCCTTGGGAAGTGCCATCTGGAACAGCTTGGCCACTGTCTGGCCAAAGGGACCAGAAGGTGGTAGGAGCAGGACAGCTAGCCCAAGGGAGAAATAGAGCCAGGACTGGAGACGTTAAACCCTTGTCTGGCTAGAAAATTACAGTGGTTTAGCAAAAATTGAATTGGAATCGATTTTAATAAACCACCAAAACCCTGGAGGTAGAGCCACTTAGCCATCAACTGCAAATAATTTGGCCTGGCCAAGGCTGAAAAGGCGTTGGCAGCAGCGAGGAGGGTTGCTGTGGGTTAGCGGCTGGTCCAGGACTGGAGACGTTAAACCCTTGTCTGGCTAGAAAATTACAGTGGTTTAGCAAAAATTGAATTGGAATCGATTTTAATAAACCACCAAAACCCTGGAGGTAGAGCCACTTAGCCATCAACTGCAAATAATTTGGCCTGGCCAAGGCTGAAAAGGCGTTGGCAGCAGCGAGGAGGGTTGCTGTGGGTTAGCGGCTGGTCCGGGGTGCATCCTTTGGAGGGACGGAGCCATTCGATCTCCCGGTGCTGGCTCTGCATCCCAGGTCCCTGACTGATGGGACCCGGGGGCTGCCCCTCTCCTTTGGTTTTTGGCTCCCAATCCATTAGCTGCTGCCTGCCCTCCTCCTGATGCGCTCTTTCATGCCAGCCTTGGTGCAGAGGTGACGCTGCCTTTTGCTGCCTGGCTCCTGCCAGATGCCTTTCCCTCGGGTGATGCTCGCTCACACCCGTCGGCCAGGGCCAACGAGTGGGTCTCTTCTCGTCCAGCTCTCCGCAGCCCGCTGAGCATGTCCAGCCCCTACACGTCCTCCTTCGGGATGGTGCCTCACGCCACCCTCAACGGGGAGCTCCCAGCCCCCAGCATGTACATGGGCATCCACCTCTCGCCGCAGGTCAGCAGCGCCGTCATGTACGGACGGTCCCCGATGGTAAGTCGCCGAGGGACGGGCCCGATCTGCTGGCATGTGTCGGCTCTGCCGCCTGTCCCCCGCTTTTCTGGGTACGCACCGTCCCTGACGTGCGGTATCTGCACTGCTGCAGTGAGCTCAAGTGCTGGCATGTGTCGGCTCTGCCGCCTGTCCCCCGCTTTTCTGGGTACGCACCGTCCCTGACGTGCGGTATCTGCACTGCTGCAGTGAGCTCAAGCCGGGGGGGTGCAGCCGTAGGAGGGGCTCCCTTCTGGAGGTGTCCGGGTTGTGGGGCGAGTGGAGGCTGCAGAGCTCTCGGAGAAGCCCCAACTGGTCCCGCTGGTCTGTAGCTGGGTCTTTGGGAGCCCATTTTGGCCTTTGTCACTTGCATGTGGAGGAAGCAACAAGCAGGGACCTTGCGCAGAGCCGGGCTGGCCCCCTCCCAGGGCGTGCGGGGAAAGGCGTGAGCCCGACCTTCGTGCCCGCTCCCGGAGGTTTGGCGCTTTGCTCATCATGTGCCCTTTGCTTTGTGCAGGTGGCTTTTGAGTCGCACCCTCACCTGAGGGCTTCCACCATCTCATCGTCGCTCTCCACCATCCCCGGAGGGAAACCGTAAGTGTGGCTCCACGCAGGGGCTGTGGGGAGGGTGGGCAGCAAGGGGCTGAGCTGGGCAGCACGGCGGGGGGGATCTCCTTCCCCACGGCTCATTCTAAACCCAGCAGTCACCCCTAAAAATGTAACTCTAGGTACCTTGGTGCAGTGATAAATGGAAAAGGTGTAGGGCAGGGCAGGGCCTGGCTGGAGTTTCTCTCCACTTGCGAGTCCAATGCAGTCGTTTTGTTCCAGGCAGCTGGTGGTAACAAGGAGCTGGTTAATTATAGCCCTCATTAGCTGGAGGGCACTGCGCACCTTCCACCTGGCTCAAGCGTGGCTAATGGGAGATGTCGGCTCCTGCACTCAGGCATCATGTAGGGATCGTTCAGTCCTCTCCTCTGCTCCCTTCCAGTGCCTACTCCTTCCACGTCAGCACCGATGGGCAGATGCAACCGGTGCCTTTCCCACCCGACGCCCTCATCGGCTCCGGCATCCCCCGCCACGCGCGGCAGCTCCACACCCTGACCCATGGCGAGGTGGTCTGCGCCGTCACCATCAGCAGCTCCACACAGCACGTCTACACGGGGGGCAAGGGCTGTGTGAAGGTGTGGGACGTGGGGCAGCCGGGCACCAAGACGGCCGTGGCTCAGCTCGACTGCTTGGTAAGGAGGAGGAGCAGAAAAGCATTTTCTGGGGGCTGGGAAGAATGTGTCCCCGTTACAATGGAGGGTCCTTTCATGTCTGTGATGAGAAAAGGAGATCTGTCTCCTGTGCCCCCCGCTCCCCATGCAATGATCAGCTCCTTCTTCATGTGCTCCTTTGCTGCAATCCTAATTCAGAACCGCGACAACTACATCCGCTCCTGCAAGCTGCTCCCCGACGGCCGCAGCCTGATCGTCGGCGGGGAGGCCAGCACCCTTTCCATCTGGGACCTGGCGGCCCCCACGCCCCGCATCAAGGCTGAGCTCACCTCCTCTGCCCCCGCCTGCTACGCCCTGGCCACCAGCCCCGACGCCAAAGTCTGCTTCTCCTGCTGCAGCGACGGCAACATCGTGGTGTGGGACCTGCAGAACCAGACCATGGTGAGGTGAGCCCGGGGCAGGCGGCACAGGGCAGGAACATGGAGGGGATGCTGGCTCTTAGGGAGCTGGTAGCCCTGATGTCTGTGCCCTCGCCCTCTCTGTCCCCCTCTTTCCCAGGCAGTTTCAAGGCCACACGGATGGGGCCAGCTGCATCGACATCTCTAACTACGGCACTAAGCTGTGGACAGGGGGGCTGGACAACACGGTGCGGTGCTGGGACCTGCGGGAAGGGCGTCAGCTGCAGCAGCACGACTTCAGCTCCCAGGTAGGGGCCGGGGCCGGCCGGGAGCACCATGGGGCCGGCCGGGACCTGCCATGCCGCTGCCCGACCCTGTCTGTCCGCCCTCCCAGATCTTCTCCCTGGGGTACTGCCCGACGGGAGAGTGGCTGGCGGTGGGCATGGAGAGCAGCAACGTGGAGATCCTGCATGTGACCAAACCCGAGAAGTACCAGCTGCACCTCCACGAGAGCTGTGTCCTCTCCCTCAAATTTGCCTCCTGCGGTAGGCGGGCGCCGTGTTTTCTGCTTGGGCTCTGTCGACTTTGGCATGGGTGGGGGGGGTGGCTCCATACAGCCCCAGATGGCTCCTTTTGGTTCCCCTGCCATGCTCAGCCCCCCTGAATGCAGTCCCAAACACTGACCCGCTTTCTCTCCTGCCCCAGGGAAGTGGTTTGTGAGCACCGGTGACAACCGGCTGAACGCATGGCGGACGCCCTATGGAGCCAGCATCTTCCAGGTGCGGATGCGGCATTTGGACAGGGGGGATGAGGGTGGCTTCAGCTGCCAGTGCTGCCCTCACCTCCTGCCTCTCTCATGTTCAGTCTAAAGAGTCCTCGTCGGTGCTGAGCTGTGACATCTCTGTTAACGACAAATTCATCGTTACGGGCTCCGGCGACAAGAAGGCCACAGTGTATGAGGTGGTGTACTGAGGTCCCTCAAGGAAGGAGCCAGTCCTTGCCCAAAATGGCCGGGGCTGGCAGAAGCCTCCCACACTGGGCCAACCCTCCTGCAGTCCTGCTCTCCCTCCTCCTCCTCCTCGCCTTTCAGCTGCCAAAACAAGGCCGGGACACTGGCCCCGCTCCCCTGCCACTGCTCCTGCCCGACACGTCGCAGAAGCGAAGGGGAGAGCTGGACGTGAGCACTTGTCGGGGCCAGGCATCCCCCAAAGCCGGGCAGGGGCATCCACACCGTGTCTGGCCCTCAGGGTTGGAGGCACGGGGAGCTGGAGGGCTGAGAGAGGGACTGAGCTGGTGTTGCTCCTGAAATACTGCTACTGATTTAATAGCACCCATTTTCTGCTGCAGAAACAGCTGTAAATTATCAGTAAAGAAATGTATTTAACTGTGTTTTCAATCCCTTACTAATAAAAAG